CTCAAATAAAATTTTTTAAAAAGTTATTTCTAAATCTAATGATTTAAGAAATTGGTGTCAGAGAAGTGGGATAGCTTCAACGCATTAGAACACGTGCATACTAACTGGTGCGGTGGATGCCTATCCTTTAAGCTGAAAAGGACCAACGAGCCTTAAGAAGAAAGAAACCCATTGAAGAAAGAAAACTACAAGTAAGAAACTACAAAGCAACAAGAAGAAGGAAAACAACAGGAGACACAGCGAGCAGCAGCCACCCAACTGCAGACAGACTACTGGAAACATCGCAAGAGATCCACTAGCCGCCTGGAGAACACGACTGCCTCCCGATGTACCCTTGGTAACGTACAATTTTAATCTAACTATTTTTTGCGATTTATCTCTGTGTGTGTGATTTTTACAACTTTTTATTTGCATTTTTGCGCATTTACTCTATATATTGTCGATTTTCACGTATTTTTCCCCATTTTTACGTATTTTTCTATTTTACATTTATATCTTTTTGCATTTTCCCTTGACATTATTGAATCTTTTTGAAACAACTTTCCATTTAAAATGTCTACTAACGGTTCAGATGATTACCAACCAGCTGAAATTCCTGATAACGTTCATGCGAACATTGAACCTTATAGATTATCTGAAATATTTTCGATTGTACCCGAGTACGATGGAAACCCGATATTGCTGTCGACCTTCATCAACACGTGCCGAACGGCATATCAAATGGCCGTCGAGGAGCAGCGGCTTCTCGTCGTTTTACATATTAAAAACAAACTTCGCGGACGTGCCACCGAACTTGTGAACAGCCGAAACCCTTCCACGTGGGAAGACATACGGTCCCTGTTAGAAACCTACTTTGGAGATCTTAGAGATCTCACATCTTTAATCGCGGATCTTCAACACATGCGCCAACTCCCCAACGAATCACCCCTAACCTTTGCATCTAGACTGCAGACACATGCAGCCAAAATGCATTCCGCCGTGAATAGGCAAAATCTAAATCGCGAGCAAAAATCTGCTCAAAGTTCCCTCATCGAAACGATCACTTTAAATTGTCTATTAACAGGATTAGACTCAAAAATAGGACCTGTTGTGCGATCAGGACATCCCACGGACATCTTGACCGCAGTTTCGTATATCAAACGAGAGTTACAACATTCATATATGGAACGACAAAAGTTCGCCAGGGCCCCAAACCCGAATCAAAATTCAGTTAATCGAAGACCAAACCCTAAAATTTGTAATTTTTGTAATCGTCCCGGTCACTTGGCAAATGAATGCCAACGGAGACAACAGTCTACAAGTTTTGCCCCAAGACAGTTTAACCAGCCCCAGCCTCAAAATTACCCTAGGCCGAATCAACCTATGCAAGTTAGACCATCTACATCTAACTACCATCAAAATTCTAATCAATATCCTCCCAGACCATCTGTAATACGACCAAATGCGCCTAACGCGAGTGCTCCAAGACCCTCTGTAATTCAGAGCAATCCAAATTTCCAAAACCCTAATTTTCAAAGAAATTTTAGACAAAATCCTCCCAATCGAATTAATTATGTCGCCCCTGATTCTTACGATTATTCCGACTACGGTGAACCAGACCTATACAACACGGACTACGCTAATGAATATGACGATACCCAATACTCCGCCTACACACCTTCCCCATACGATGATTTTAGAGAACCCAGTAACGATTATTGTTACGAATATAATCAAACCGCCGATACATTTGTTGGTGAACTTAGCGAATCTCAGTGTCGAGGACCCGAACGCGAAACCGTGTGCGAGCGTCAGCAACACATGCGATCAGATGTTCATATAAACCCTCCGTTTATAGTCCCGTCGACAATTCACCCAGTTAGCCCAGATAACTTATATTACATTAAAGATGCTACTGGAAAATTCAAAATTCTCATTGACAGTGGTGCAGGTGGCTCCATTTTCAAACGTAACACTTGTCAAAATTATACTAATCGTGTCGCAGAAAATATCTCTATCCGAGGTATTACTGTCGAAAAAATTAGTATTACTGAAGCAGTCTTAGTCCCATTTGCTCCCAATGATTATCACAAAATTTATGTCCATGATCTAGATATTTCATTCGATGACCTTCTTGGGTCAGACTTTCTTGAACATTATGATTGTATTATTGATTTGAAAAATCGTCAATTGATTACAAATTTCAAAACAGTCCCTCTTTTCAAAGTAGGTGACGAAAATAATTCCAAAGCTTCTCAATTTAAAGAAAAGTCCCAAGCTTCGCAATTTAAAGAAAATTCTCAAGTTCAAAATGTTATTTCCATTCCTCCCAGAGTTGAACAAGTTTTCAAGCTCAAATCCGAGCTTAGAAATACTGAAGCCATTCTTCTGGCGTGTGAGGTAGAAAAAGTCCGTCTACCCAGTTCCATAGTTAAAATTGATTCTAAAGGCGAATTCCTTACTATAGTATTAAACTGTAATGCCATTCCAAAAAATGTAACTTTACCCCAATTAACTTTCGAGCCCTTTAACGAAACTTCTATCAATAATTTCAACACTTCTTTACAAAATCAAAGTCAGTATAACCGTAGAGATGTTATTAGAGATCAATTACGTCTCGATCATCTCAACGAAGAGGAAAAAGATTTAATTACGAATCTTTGTTTAGATTTTTCGGACATATTCTATTTAGATGGTGATAGCCTGTCATTTACAAACGAAATTAAGCATTCCATTGATACCACTACCAGTAAACCAATTTTTACCAAATCCTACCGATACGCTTATGTCCACAAGGAAGAAGTCAAAGATCAAATTTCAAAATTACTAAAACAAGGTATTATCGAACCTAGCACATCGCCATGGAATTCTGCGGTGTGGGTTGTACCAAAGAAAATGGACGCCTCTGGTAAACAGAAATGGCGTATGGTGATTGACTATCGTAAGCTTAACAAAATCACCATCGATGATAAATATCCCCTGCCAAACATTTCCGATCTACTTGATCAATTAGGGAAATGCCAGTACTTTAGTACACTGGACTTGGCATCTGGATTTCATCAAATCGAGATAAATCCAGTTGATGTTCCTAAAACTGCATTTTCAGTTGAAAACGGACATTACCAATTCTTGAGGATGCCTTTTGGTCTCAAGAACGCTCCTGCCACGTTTCAACGTGTCATGGACAACATCTTGATGGGTATACAAAACGAAAGATGTCTTGTATACATGGATGACATAATTGTCTATTCTCCCTCCATCCAAGAACACATCAGTAGGCTTACCGAAATTTTTAAGCGTCTTCGGAAGTCGAATTTCAAAATCCAACCTGATAAGTGCGAATTCCTCAGAAAGGAAGTAGCCTATCTTGGTCATGTAATAACCCCTGATGGCGTTAAGCCCAATCCAGATAAAGTGGATTGCATAAAAAATTTCCCTCAGCCAAAGAATCCTAAAGAAATAAAATCTTTCTTAGGTCTTGCAGGTTACTACCGACGCTTTATACCAAACTTTGCCAAAATTGCGAAACCCCTTACCAGACTATTACAGAAAGACGCAGTATTTGACTTTGATAGCGAGTGTGTTAAGTCATTTGATACTTTAAAAAATACTTTAACAACATCTCCTATACTGATCTACCCCAACTTTGAAGAGCCTTTTGTGCTTACAACAGACGCAAGCGCTTTTGCGATATCTGGCGTTCTTTCCCAAGGTCCCATAGGTAAAGATCTCCCGATAGCCTATGCATCTCGTACACTTTGTAAAGCAGAAACGAGATATTCCACCATCGAAAGAGAACTTCTAGCTATTGTCTGGAGTGTAAAACATTTTAGACCTTATTTGTATGGTCGAAAGTTTAAACTCGTAACAGACCATAGACCCCCTTACGTGGCTTTTCTCTTGCCGAGACACCGGAAGTAGATTAGCAAGATGGCGCCTCAAGCTAGAGGAGTACGACTATGAAATAGTGTACAAGCCAGGCAAGGCTAATAAAAATGCCGATGCCCTATCACGTATCAAATTACCCAAAACTGTTAACGCCCTTACCCATAGTGACGAAGAAGGAGAACCTTCTACCCAATTTTCCGAAAGTGAGTTTGATATCTTTGCCCGCCTTTACAAAACCACATCCCTGATCGATTATTCCAAAATTCAATTTTCAAATTCCCAACTCCTAGACAAGAGTCATAAACATATTGTCACGTTTTTCAGACAAAACACTCTATCTGATCTTCACGAAAAAATTATCGAAGACATATTCGAGGAAAATCTTGATTTTTCTGCAGATAAAATTAACATCGCGTCTAGCAAAACAATTAAAGATAGAAAATACTATATTATTCCTGTGCCATACGATCCCGTAACTTGCATACAGCATCTTTTCTCTGTAATTTTAACCAACACAGGTGTATTCGACCTATCCCAACAAATCTACGTTGAAAATAATTTGGACTTACCCATTTTAGAAATTTTCTCTTTTATTTTTTCGGATGATAATATCAAACTTGTCGTTTGCCAAAACGTCACCAAAACTCCTAGTCCCGATGAAATCCCCGTCATTTTAGATCAATACCATTGTGGTAAGAAAAACATTCATCGAGGAATTAATGAAACAATTAGGCGAATTCGTGAACGATATAATTGGCCCGGCTTAACTAAAGACGTTGAGCATTTCATCAAAAAGTGTGAAATTTGTCAAAAGACCAAAATTTGTCGTAAAAACCTCAGTGCCCCTTTTGTAGTAACTGAAACCCCTAAAGCCCCGTTCGAAAGAATCAACATTGACATTTTGGAAGTCCCACCTAAATGCTACGCTCTCACAATCCGAGACGAGCTAACAAAGTTTTCTCAAGTCTATCCAATTAGCGACAAATCTGCAAAATCTGTAGTAAATACTCTACTTTTATATTTCCAACATTATGGTACACCTCTCCGAATACACTGTGATTACGGAAAGAATTTGACAACGCCCTCATGAAAGACCTTTGTAGTCTTTATGACATTAAATTAACTTTTTCTAGTGTCTGTCATCCCCAGTCCAATGGCTCGATTGAGCGATTTCACGCCACCTTATTGGAAATGATCAGATCCCATGTATCCGAAAGTCCCGACGAACATCCCTTCAATATTCTTCCCTATGCTGTTCAGTGCTACAATAGTACTAGAAATAAAACTACTGGCTTTACACCATACGAGCTCGTGTTTGGCCACACCTCTGGTCGTCCGCCCGAACACGTATATTTAGAAAAAGAATTGATGTCCAAGTATGTTCGAGACATTCGGAATAAACTCGAATATTACTACAAAATTGCCCGCGTGAGAACTGACGAACAGAAGCAAAAAGCAAAAATTCGCTTTGATAGTAGAGTGTCACCCAATTTACAATCATATAAAATTGGCGATAAAGTATTTGTGAAACAGTCTCAAATTTCAAACAAGCTTCAGAACAAATTTGATGGTCCATTCGAAATTACTCAAGTTTTTGAAAATTCTGCGCTCCTTAAGAACCCGGAAACAAATAGAATAAGTAAAGTTAATTTTGACAGACTGAAACCATGTTTTGAGACTTAGTTTCTCTTTCAGGTGCAGTCTGCTGTTTCTTGCGGCTGTCACAGCCCAGATAGACATCAAACCGCTTAACAACACCTTAGGCATCTATTTTCATGAAGACGCCCCTCTTAAGATTTCCAACGAAATTTGGACACTCCTTGTATATAAAGACTTAGAACTCATTAAGAAAGCACTTGACGATAACAACTATATTCTGGAACACTTATCATATCTCGTAGACAAACCCACCAATCGTATGAAAATATTTAGTGGCGAAATTAAAACTCATACAAGAAGTCTCCTTTATCAAATTTCTCGTTCCTTGGAATCTAAATATTACGCGATCTTCGATGACACTGTAAGCGCATCGCGGATGAAACGCGGTCTGATTAACGCTATAGGTACCGTCTGGAAAGCAATAACCGGCAACCTCGATTCATCGGACGGTGAATACTATAACGATTGTATTAACAAAATTTCTAAAGATGAACATGAGCTCGAAAACCTCATGAAGAACCAAATTTCTGTTACCATGTCGGTTATCAAGAATTTTAATAACACTATTCAAAAACTTATGATTGATGAAACTACGTTTAATGAAGATATTAAGGTTATTGAAAACAAAATTTATGAAATTTCAGACGATCTTGCATTTTATGAAGCTAAATTCCAATTTTTAGAAGTTTGCGAACAATTAATGGAAAGCTACATGTTTCTGGAAGAGACAATTAATGATATTCTAAATTCAATTACTTTTGCACGTTTAAAAATAATACATCCTTCTATCATCACTCCTCAAGACTTAGTAAATTCTCTTCAAGAAATTTCTCACACTTTGTCGAGAAATAATTTACCCCTTCCGGTTAATTTGGCAACAGTGTCAGAGTACCTTAATCTTATGGAACTCGAAGCATATCAAACTAAAACAAGAGTAGTATTCGTTCTACGCATCCCGTTATTAGAGCCCGAAATGTATACTTTATACAGAGTGATTCCTCTATCCATTCTCGATAAACGTACTGGTTTGTTTCATGTAGTCTCCACTATAAAGAGAAACATTGCTAAAGATAGCGATTCTTTTTTGTACGTTTCCTTTCAAAATTTAGGTAGTTGTAAAGTTCTTCAGTCTCAGGTGAAAATCTGTTTCAACCTCTTGCCGTATCCAATAGACAGTAATGCAGTCTGCGAAGCACAGTTGTTGCGAAATCCGGTCGACCTGCCGACAGCCTGCCAAATAGCAATTGTGGCATTGCAAGATTACAAAATCCAAGAACTTGCAACCAATTTTTGGCTAATCACCATATCTAGCCCTCTGCCAATTACGATGAAGTGTGGACAACGAGACAACCAAAGTGATAAAAGTTAATTCACTTTTAAAAATGCAGCCCGAATGCAGTGGCTTTGTAGGCACCACGAGATTACATTCTAGATATTCTGTTAGCACCTACAAGAATATCACATACAAAAGTCACCCTGTAGAAGTACCCTACAAATGCTGTGAACCATCTCCCAGAGAAACAAAATGTACCAAAATTAAAACCGATCAAGCTGAGCAAGATCGATACTGAATAACTCGAGATTGCCAATCACAAATTAAATATTCTGAACAACTGGACAAAATTATGAACGAGCCGTTTGTTTCGAGACATCTCTCATGGTTCACGTATTTCATCATCACCCTGTTAGTTATCATCGTAGCTTTCTACCTGTTCTGCAAGTGCAGAAAACGTAGACCACTCAGCATCTGCGCATCAAATTATCCAGCCGATGGCCCATCTCCAGGAGCACCAAAAGTCCGGTACATTCCCAGACTTTTTCCTCGACGTAGACCAACCATCCAGCCACATGAAGAAGACATCGAACTGCAGTGAGTGTTCCGTGTTCCCTATTCAAAAAAAATCATTTTCAATTTTCGTGTTATCTTCCATGTGATTTTGCCCGTACGACTGTACGATTGTATCTTATTTATCTGTTTGTTCCAGCTTTGCTTTTAGATGTTATTTTGCATCGCCAATGTACCGCATTTATGCTAACAATTTTATTTTTCAGAATCTGTATTTTCTGATTTTACTTTTGCAATTTGTGTTTTGCAAGTTTACTATTTTTATATTTTTACAATGTTTACAATTTTACAGTTTTTACATTTTTACAAATTTATACTTTTGATATTTTTACATTTTTCAATTTTGGTCAAAAGTTGTCGCATAGCAACAACTTTTTGTAATAGGGGGGAGTTGTTATATGGCCATAGTAACTACGCAGTTATTACACAATGTTGCACCAGACGATGTGTCAGCATATGATAACAACTTCTCGCTAATCCGTTGCTAGAATAGTGCCTTTGCTGTTTTCTGCTAATTCTTAGTCAGCTTTCTGAATGTATAAATAGGCCTCGCGGCCATATCCTGTCGTTCAATACCCGGTTAGACTCCGTAAATGTCACATTTGTAAACCTTTGTATTTTATATGGACTGAAGCTTCAGTCCTCAAATAAATTTTTTTTAAAAGTTATTTCTAAAGCTAATGATTTAAGATATATATATATATATATATATATATATATATATATATATATATATATATATATATATATATATATATATATATGTTATATGCACTCAAAACAATGGACTTACTATTCCATACAATGTTGCACCAGACGCTAGCTCAGCAACAGATAACGACTTCTCGCTAACACGTTGTTTACGCTTTATTTTCTAGAAGTGCTTTGTAAGCACACCAATAGTATAAATAGGCCTTGCGCCCATTCCATGTCGTTCATTACCCGGTTAGGCACCGTAACAGTCACTTATGTAAACTTTATGTTCAATACCCGGTTAGACTCCGTAAATGTCACATTTGTAAACCTTTGTATTTTATATGGACTGAAGGTTCAGTCCTCAAATAAAATTTTTTTAAAAGTTATTTCTAAATCTAATGATTTAAGAAATTGGTGTCAGAAGTGGGATAGCTTCAACGCATTAGAACACGTGCATACTAACTAGTGTGGTGGATGCCTATCCTTTAAGCTGAAAAGGACCAACGAGCCTTAAGAAGAAAGAAACCCATTGAAGAAAGAAACCTACAAGTAGGAAAACTACAAGTAAGAAACTACAAAGCAACAAGAAGAAGGAAAACAACAGGAGACACAGCGAGCAGCAGCCACCCAACTGCAGACAGACTACTGGAAACATCGCAAGAGATCCACTAGCCGCCTGGAGAACACGACTGCCTCCCGATGTACCCTTGGTAACGTACAATTTTAATCTAACTATTTTTTGCGATTTATCTCTGTGTGTGTGATTTTTACAACTTTTTATTTGCATTTTTGCGCATTTACTCTATATATTGTCGATTTTCACGTATTTTTCTATTTTACATTTATATCTTTTTGCATTTACCCTTGACATTATTGAATCTTTTTGAAACAACTTTCCATTTAAAATGTCTACTAACGGTTCAGATGACTACCAACCAGCTGAAATTCCTGATAACGTTCATGCGAACATTGAACCTTATAGATTATCTGAAATATTTTCGATTGTACCCGAGTACGATGGAAACCCGATATTGTTATCGACCTTCATCAACGCATGCCGAACGGCATATCAAATGGCCGTCGAGGAGCAGCGGCTTCTCGTCGTTTTACATATTAAAAACAAACTTCGCGGACGTGCCGCCGAACTTGTGAATAGCCGAAACCCTTCCACGTGGGAAGACATACGGTCCCTGTTAGAAACGCACTTTGGAGATCTTAGAGATCTCACATCTTTAATCGCGGATCTTCAACACATGCGCCAACTCCCCAACGAATCACCCCTAATCTTTGCATCTAGACTGCAGACGCATGCAGCCAAAATGCATTCCGCCGTGAATAGACAAAATCTAAATCGCGAGCAAAAATCTGCTCAAAGTTCCCTCATCGAAACGATGACTTTAAATTGTCTATTAACAGGATTAGACTCAAAAATAGGACCTGTTGTGCGATCAGGACATCCCACGGATATCTTGACCGCAGTTTCGTATATCAAACGAGAGTTACAACTTTCATATTTGGAACGACAAAAATTCGCCAGGACCCCAAACCCGAATCAAAATTCAGTTAATCGAAGACCAAACCCTAAAATTTGTAATTTTTGTAATCGTCCCGGTCACTTAGCAAATGAATGCCAACGGAGACAACAGCCTACAAGCTTTGCCCCAAGACAGTTTAACCAGCCCCAACCTCAAAATTACCCTAGGCCGAATCAACCTATGCAAGTTAGACCATCTACATCTAACTACCATCAAAATTCTAATCAATATCCTCCCAGACCATCTGTAATACGACCAAATGCGCCTAACGCGAGTGCGCCAAGCCCTCTGTAATTCAGAGCAATCCAAATTTTCAAAACCCTAATTTTCAAAGAAATTTTAGACCAAATCCTCCCAATCGAATTAATTATGTCGCCCCTGATTCTTACGATTATTCCGACTACGGTGAACCAGACCTATACAACACGGACTACGCTAATGAATATGACGATACCCAATACTCCGCCTACACACCTTCCCCATACGATGATTTTAGAGAACCCAGTAACGATTATTGTTACGAATATAATCAAACCGCCGATACATTTGTTGGCGAACTTAGCGAATCTCAGTGTCGAGGACCCGAACGCGAAACCGTGTGCGAGCGTCAGCAACACATGCGATCAGATGTTCATATAAACCCTCCGTTTATAGTCCCGTCGACAATTCACCCAGTTAGCCCAGACAACTTATATTACATTAAAGATGCTACTGGAAAATTCCAAATTCTCATTGACAGTGGTGCAGGTTGCTCCATTTTCAAACGTAACACTTGTCAAAATTATACTAATCGTGTCGCAGAAAATATCTCTATCCGAGGTATTACTGACGAAAAAATTAGTATTACCGAAGCAGTCTTAGTCCCATTTGCTCCCAATGATTATCACAAAATTTATGTCCATGATCTAGATATTTCATTCGATGGCCTTCTTGGGTCAGATTTTCTTGAACATTACGATTGTATTATTGATTTGAAAAATCGTCAATTGATTACAAATTTCAAAACAGTCCCTCTTTTCAAAGTAGGTGACGAAAATAATTCCAAAGCTTCTCAATTTAAAGAAAAGTCCCAAGCTTCGCAATTTAAAGAAAATTCTCAAGTTCAAAATGTTATTTCCATTCCTCCCAGGGTTGAACAAGTTTTCAAGCTCAAATCCGAGCTTAGAAATACTGAAGCCATTCTTCTGGCGTGTGAGGTAGAAAAAGTCCGTCTACCCAGTTCCATAGTTAAAATTGATTCTAAAGGCGAATTCCTTACTACAGTATTAAACTGTAATGCCATTCCCAAAAATGTAATTTTACCCCAATTAACTTTCGAGCCCTTTAACGAAACTTCTATCAATAATTTCAACACTTCTTTACAAAATCAAAGTCAGTATAACCGTAGAGATGTTATTAGAGATCAATTACGTCTCGATCATCTCAACGAAGAGGAAACAGATTTAATTACGAATCTTTGCTTAGATTTTTCGGACATATTCTACTTAGATGGTGATAGCCTGTCATATACCAACGAAATTAAGCATTCCATTGATACCACTACCAGTAAACCAATTTTTACCAAATCCTACCGATACCCTTATGTCCACAAGCAAGAAGTCAAAGATCAAATTTCGAAATTACTAAAACAAGGTATTATCGAACCTAGCACATCGCCATGGAATTCTGCGGTGTGGGTTGTACCAAAGAAAATGGACGCCTCTGGTAAACAGAAATGGCGTATGGTGATTGACTATCGTAAGCTTAACGAAATCACCATCGATGATAAATATCCCCTGCCAAACATTTCCGATCTACTTGATCAATTAGGGAAATGCCAGTACTTTAGTACACTGGACTTGGCATCTGGATTTCATCAAATCGAGATAAATACAGTTGATGTTCCTAAAACTGCATTTTCAGTTGAAAACGGACATTACCAATTCTTGAGGATGCCTTTTGGTCTCAAGAACGCTCCTGCCACGTTTCAACGTGTCATGGACAACATCTTGATGGGTATACAAAACGAAAGATGTCTTGTATACATGGATGACATAATTGTCTATTCCCCCTCCATCCAAGAACACATCAGTAGACTTACCGAAATTTTTACGCGTCTTCGGAAATCGAATTTCAAAATCCAGCCTGATAAGTGCGAATTCCTCAGAAAGGAAGTAGCCTATCTTGGTCACGTAATAACCCCTGATGGCGTTAAGCCCAATCCGGATAAAGTGGATTGCATAAAAAATTTCCCTCAACCCAAGAATCCTAAAGAAATAAAATCTTTCTTAGGTCTTGCAGGTTACTACCGACGCTTTATACCAAACTTTGCCAAAATTGCAAAACCCCTTACCAGACTATTACAGAAAGACGCAGTATTTGACTTTGATAGCGAGTGTGTTAAGTCATTTGATACTTTAAAAAATGCTTTAACAACATCTCCTATACTGATCTACCCCAACTTTGAAGAGCCTTTTGTGCTTACAACAGACGCAGCGCTTTTGCGATATCTGGCGTTCTTTCCCAAGGTCCCATAGGTAAAGATCTCCCGATAGCCTATGCATCTCGTACACTTTGTAAAGCAGAAACGAGATATTCCACCATCGAAAGAGAACTTCTAGCTATTGTCTGGAGTGTAAAACATTTTAGACCTTATTTGTATGGTCGAAAGTTTAAACTCGTAACAGACCATAGACCCCTTACGTGGCTTTTCTCTTGCCGAGACACCGGAAGTAGATTAGCAAGATGGCGCCTCAAGCTAGAGGAGTACGACTATGAAATAGTGTACAAGCCAGGCAAGGCTAATAAAAATGCCGATGCCCTATCACGTATCAAATTACCCAAAACTGTTAACGCCCTTACCCATAGAGACGAAGAAGGAGAACCTTCTACCCAATTTTCCGAAAGTGAATTTGATATCTTTGCCCGCCTTTACAAAACCACATCCCTGATCGATTATTCCAAAATCCAATTTTCAAATTCCCAACTCCTAGACAAAAGTCATAAACATATCGTCACGTTTTTCAGACAAAACGCTCTATCTGATCTTCACGAAAAAATTATCGAAGACATATTCGAGGAAAATCTTGATTTTTCTGCAGATAAAATTAACATCGCGTCTAGCAAAACAACTAAAGATAGAAAATACTATATTATTCCTGTGCCATACGATCCCGTAACTTGCATACAGCATCTTTTCTCTGTAATTTTAACCAACAAAGGTGTATTCGACCTATCCCAACAAATCTACGTTGAAAATAATTTGGACTTACCCATTTTAGAAATTTTCTCTTTTATTTTTTCGAATGATAATATCAAACTTGTCGTTTGCCAAAACGTCACCAAAACTCCTAGTCCCGATGAAATCCCCGTCATTTTAGATCAATACCATTGTGGTAAGAAAAACATTCATCGAGGAATTAATGAAACAATTAGGCGAATTCGTGAACGATATAATTGGCCCGGCTTAACTAAAGACGTTGAGCATTTCATCAAAAAGTGTGAAATTTGTCAAAAGACCAAAATTTGTCGTAAAAACCTCAGTGCCCCTTTTGTAGTAACTGAAACCCCTAAAGCCCCGTTCGAAAGAATCAACATTGACATTTTGGAAGTCCCACCTAAATGCTACGCTCTCACAATCCGAGACGAGCTAACAAAATTTTCTCAAGCCTATCCAATTAGCGACAAATCTGCAAAATCTGTAGTAAATACTCTACTTTTCTATTTCCAACATTATGGTACACCTCTCCGAATACACTGTGATTACGGAAAAGAATTTGACAACGCCCTCATGAAAGACCTTTGTAGTCTTTATGACATTAAATTAACTTTTTCTAGTGTCAGTCATCCCCAGTCCAATGGCTCGATTGGGCGATTTCACGCCACTTTATTGGAAATGATCAGATCCCATGTATCCGAAAATCCCGACGAACATCCCTTCAATATTCTTCCCTATGCTGTTCAGTGCTACAATAGTACTAGAAATAAAACTACTGGCTTTACACCATACGAGCTCGTGTTTGGCCACACCTCTGGTCGTCCGCCCGAACACGTATATTTAGAAAAAGAATTGATGTCCAAGTATGTTCGAGACATTCGGAATAAACTCGAATATTACTACAAAATTGCCCGCGTGAGAACTGACGAACAGAAGCAAAAAGCAAAAATTCGCTTTGATAGTAGAGTGTCACCCAATTTACAATCATATAAAATTGGCGATAAAGTATTTGTGAAACAGTCTCAAATTTCAAACAAGCTTCAGAACAAATTTGATGGTCCATTCGAAATTACTCAAGTTTTTGAAAATTCTGCGCTCCTTAAGAACCCGGAAACAAATAGAATAAGTAAAGTTAATTTTGACAGACTGAAACCATGTTTTGAGACTTAGTTTCTCTTTCAGGTGCAGTCTGCTGTTTCTTGCGGCTGTCACAGCCCAGATAGACATCAAACCGCTTAACAACACCTTAGGTATCTATTTTCATGAAGACGCCCCTCTTAAGATTTCCAACGAAATTTGGACACTTCTTGTATATAAAGATTTAGAACTCATTAAGAAAGCACTTGACGATAACAACAATATTCTGGAACACTTATCATATCTCGTAGACAAACCCACCAATCGTATGAAAATGTTTAGTGGTGAAATTAAAACTCATACAAGTCTCCTTTATCAAATTTCTCGTTCCTTGGAATCTAAATATTACGCAATCTTCGATGACACTGTAAGCGCATCGCGGATGAAACGCGGTCTGATTAACGCTATAGGTACTGTATGGAAAGCAATAACCGGCAACCTCGATTCATCGGACGGTGAATACTATAACGATTGTATTAACAAAATTTCTAAAGATGAACATGAGCTCGAAAACCTCATGAAGAACCAAATTTCTGTTACCATGTCGGTTATCAAGAATTTTAATAACACTATTCAAAAACTTATGATTGATGAAACTACGTTTAATGAAGATATTAAGGTCATTGAAAACAAAATTTATGAAATTTCAGACAATCTTGCATTTTATGAAGCTAAATTCCAATTTTTAGAAGTTTGCGAACAATTAATGGAAAGCTATATGTTTCTGGAAGAGCCAATTAATGATATTCTAAATTCAATTACTTTTGCACGTTTAAAAATAATACATCCTTCTATTATCACTCCTCAAGACTTAGTAAATTCTCTTCAAGAAATTTCTCACACTTTGTCGAGAAATAATTTACCCCTTCCGGTTAATTTAGCAACAGTGTCAGAGTACCTTAATCTTATGGAACTCGAAGCATATCAAACTAAAACAAGAGTAGTATTCGTTCTACGCATCCCGTTATTAGAGCCCGAAATGTATACTTTATACAGAGTGATTCCTCTACCCACTCTCGATAAACGTACTGGTTTGTTTCATGTAGTCTCCACTATACAGAGGTACATTGCTAAAGATAGCGATTCTCTTTTGTACGTTTCCTTTCAAAACTTAGGTAGTTGTAAAGTTCTTCAGTCTCAGGTGAAAATCTGTTTCAACCTCTTGCCGTATCCAATAGACAGTAATGCAGTCTGCGAAGCACAGTTGTTGCGAAATCCGGTCGATCTGCCGACAGCCTGCCAAATAGCAATTGTGGCATTGCAAGATTACCAAATCCAAGAACTTGCAACCAATTTTTGGCTAATCACCATATCTAGCCCTCTGCCAATTACGATGAAGTGTGGACAACGAGAGACTACCACCAAAGTGATAAAAGTTAATTCACTTTTAAAAATGCAACCCGAATGCAGTGGCTTTGTAGGCACCACGAGATTACATTCTAGATATTCTGTTAGCACCTACAAGGATATCACATACAAAAGTCACCCTGTAGAAGTACCCTACAAATGCTGTGAACATCTCCCAGAGAAACAAAATTTACCAAAATTAAAACCGATCAAGCTAAGCAAGATCGATACTGAAGAACTCGAAATTGCCAATCACAAATTAAACCAATAATCTGAACAACTGGACAAATTATGAACGAGCCGTTTGTTTCAAGACATCTCTCATGGTTCACGTATTTCATCATCACCCTGTTAGTTATCATCGTAGCTTTGTACCTGTTCTGCAAGTGCAGAAAACGAACACCACTCAGCATCTGCGCATCAAATTATCCAGCCGATGGCCCATCTCCAGGAGCACCAAAAGTCCGGTACATTCCCAGACTTTTTCCTCGACGTAGACCAACCATCCAGCCACATGAAGAAGACATCGAACTGCAGTGAGTGGTCCGTGAAGTGTTTTCACTGTTCAAAAGAGATTTCCAATTTTCGTGTTATCTACCATGTGATTTTGCCCGTACGACTGTACGATTGTATCTTATTATTTGTTTGTTCCAGCTTTGCTTTTAGATGTTATTTAGCATCGCCAATGTACCGCATTTATGCTAACAATTTTATTTTTCAGAATCTATATTTTCTGATGTTATTTTGCAATTTTATTACTCCTACTTTTATATTTTTATATGTGTACAATGTGTACAATTTACATTTCTACATTTTTACATTTTTGAATTTTACATCTTTTACACTTTTCTAATTTTATCAAAAGTTGTCGCATGGCAACAACTTTTTGTAATAGGGGGAAGTTGTTGTATGCACTCAAAAACAATGGACTTATTACACAATGTTGCACCAGACGATGTGTCAGCATATGATAACAACTTCTCGCTAATCCGTTGCTAGAATAGTGCCTTTGCTGTTTTCTGCTAATTCTTAGTCAGCTTTCTGAATGTATAAATAGGCCTCGCGGCCATATCCTGTCGTTCATACCCGGTTAGACTCCGTAAATGTCACATTTGTAAACCTTTGTATTTTATATGGACTGAAGCTTCAGTCCTCAAATAAATTTTTTTTAAAAGTTATTTCTAAAGCTAATGATTTAAGATATATATATATATATATATATATATATATATATATATATATATATATATATATATATATATATATATATATATGTTATATGCACTCAAAACAATGGACTTACTATTCCATACAATGTTGCACCAGACGCTAGCTCAGCAACAGATAACGACTTCTCGCTAACACGTTGTTTACGCTTTATTTTCTAGAAGTGCTTTGTAAGCACACCAATAGTATAAATAGGCCTTGCGCCCATTCCATGTCGTTCATTACCCGGTTAGGCACCGTAACAGTCACTTATGTAAACTTTATGTTCAATACCCGGTTAGACTCCGTAAATGTCACATTTGTAAACCTTTGTATTTTATATGGACTGAAGGTTCAGTCCTCAAATAAAATTTTTTTAAAAGTTATTTCTAAATCTAATGATTTAAGAAATTGGTGTCAGAAGTGGGATAGCTTCAACGCATTAGAACACGTGCATACTAACTAGTGTGGTGGATGCCTATCCTTTAAGCTGAAAAGGACCAACGAGCCTTAAGAAGAAAGAAACCCATTGAAGAAAGAAACCTACAAGTAGGAAACTACAAGTAAGAAACTACAAAGCAACAAGAAGAAGGAAAACAACAGGAGACACAGCGAGCAGCAGCCACCCAACTGCAGACAGACTACTGGAAACATCGCAAGAGATCCACTAGCCGCCTGGAGAACACGACTGCCTCCCGATGTACCCTTGGTAACGTACAATTTTAATCTAACTATTTTTTGCGATTATCTCTGTGTGTGTGATTTTTACAACTTTTTATTTGCATTTTTGCGCATTTACTCTATATATTGTCGATTTTCACGTATTTTTCTATTTTACATTTATATCTTTTTGCATTTACCCTTGACATTATTGAATCTTTTTGAAACAACTTTCCATTTAAAATGTCTACTAACGGTTCAGATGACTACCAACCAGCTGAAATTCCTGATAACGTTCATGCGAACATTGAACCTTATAGATTATCTGAAATATTTTCGATTGTACCCGAGTACGATGGAAACCCGATATTGTTATCGACCTTCATCAACGCATGCCGAACGGCATATCAAATGGCCGTCGAGGAGCAGCGGCTTCTCGTCGTTTTACATATTAAAAACAAACTTCGCGGACGTGCCGCCGAACTTGTGAATAGCCGAAACCCTTCCACGTGGGAAGACATACGGTCCCTGTTAGAAACGCACTTTGGAGATCTTAGAGATCTCACATCTTTAATCGCGGATCTTCAACACATGCGCCAACTCCCCAACGAATCACCCCTAATCTTTGCATCTAGACTGCAGACGCATGCAGCCAAAATGCATTCCGCCGTGAATAGACAAAATCTAAATCGCGAGCAAAAATCTGCTCAAAGTTCCCTCATCGAAACGATGACTTTAAATTGTCTATTAACAGGATTAGACTCAAAAATAGGACCTGTTGTGCGATCAGGACATCCCACGGATATCTTGACCGCAGTTTCGTATATCAAACGAGAGTTACAACTTTCATATTTGGAACGACAAAAATTCGCCAGGACCCCAAACCCGAATCAAAATTCAGTTAATCGAAGACCAAACCCTAAAATTTGTAATTTTTGTAATCGTCCCGGTCACTTAGCAAATGAATGCCAACGGAGACAACAGCCTACAAGCTTTGCCCCAAGACAGTTTAACCAGCCCCAACCTCAAAATTACCCTAGGCCGAATCAACCTATGCAAGTTAGACCATCTACATCTAACTACCATCAAAATTCTAATCAATATCCTCCCAGACCATCTGTAATACGACCAAATGCGCCTAACGCGAGTGCGCCAAGCCCTCTGTAATTCAGAGCAATCCAAATTTTCAAAACCCTAATTTTCAAAGAAATTTTAGACCAAATCCTCCCAATCGAATTAATTATGTCGCCCCTGATTCTTACGATTATTCCGACTACGGTGAACCAGACCTATACAACACGGACTACGCTAATGAATATGACGATACCCAATACTCCGCCTACACACCTTCCCCATACGATGATTTTAGAGAACCCAGTAACGATTATTGTTACGAATATAATCAAACCGCCGATACATTTGTTGGCGAACTTAGCGAATCTCAGTGTCGAGGACCCGAACGCGAAACCGTGTGCGAGCGTCAGCAACACATGCGATCAGATGTTCATATAAACCCTCCGTTTATAGTCCCGTCGACAATTCACCCAGTTAGCCCAGACAACTTATATTACATTAAAGATGCTACTGGAAAATTCCAAATTCTCATTGACAGTGGTGCAGGTTGCTCCATTTTCAAACGTAACACTTGTCAAAATTATACTAATCGTGTCGCAGAAAATATCTCTATCCGAGGTATTACTGACGAAAAAATTAGTATTACCGAAGCAGTCTTAGTCCCATTTGCTCCCAATGATTATCACAAAATTTATGTCCATGATCTAGATATTTCATTCGATGGCCTTCTTGGGTCAGATTTTCTT